CAGTCCACACCTTTCTGGTCACTCCTTGATTCCTGACAGACTCTTAAATCTTCAGTCCCGCTCTGGCCTCCTGTAGCATCGCCATTTTTGTGCATGTGCAGATGCGCCCATGGGACTCTGCCTGGTCTGTGGGTCCTGAACCTTTTGGCACATCTGGGTACGTGCAGGGGGTTTCTGCACACACGCAAAGACAGGGAAAGTTTCGAGCTTGCCTGTTGCCAGTCTTGGCGTGCACATAGAAAACCCCATGCATATGCAGATGTGTCACAGGAATCTCTCAGGAACCAAGCCCTGGGGCACATCTGTGTACATGCAGCTGGTGGGGAGAACATCTTGCCCAGGCGAAAAAAGAGGAAGTGGTGCTTTGCAGCACCAAATAAAATATAATGTGAAAAAAAAAATGGGGGAAGGAGGAGGAGGCAGGGCAGCCCAGTACACATAATCAGAAAATCGTATGAAAAATACCGCTTTCGAAGCAATCGTACGATAATCTGATTGTTAATACACAGCGTTGTCCAAAATAATTTGAGGGGACAAGCAGGAAAATGTTTCTCATACAATAACAGATCATATGATTTTTGTTTAATCAGTACAGCTTTCATCCAAAAATACAATACAAATACAATATATCACTTCTGAATTTTCTTTCTCTGGTACAAGAACTTTCATAACTTTAGTAGCCTCTTCACTTTCAATATGAGACTAGCATGTAAAAAAAAACAAAAACGGACGATCATTATTCCAATGTTCTCATCATGTGTACGGGGCTTTAGGGTGAAGATCGACCTAAACCTGTAAGCATGCACAAGTAAAAGAAATTGTCCCTCTGCAATCACATGTATATAAGCCACGGGGACTTATTTACTAAAACTGGAGAGTGCAAAATGTGGTGCAGCTCTGCACAGAAACCAATCAGCTTCCAGGTTTTATTTTCAAAGCTTATTTGAACAAGCTGAAGTTAGAAGCCGATTGGCTACCATGCATAGCTGCATCAGATTCTGAGTACTCCAGTTTTAGTAAATCTCCCCTCGAGTGATCAATGTAGCAGAGATTTCAGCTAGACATACCCTGAGTAGGGAGGAACAATTTTAGTTTATTTGACACAAATTTGGCAAACATGCACAGCTGATTATGTAAAAAATTATTACAATATATTTGATATACTGCCATCAAGAAAATCATTCTCACATACCTAGTTAGATGTAGCTTGTACTGTCAAATCTCCATTGTCTTGGGTGGAAAATTGTCTTTTCTATGGCACACTTAAACAGTGCATAGATTAGTAATTTTTTTCTGTTCAGTCAGAGGGTTGAACAAAAAAAATGACCCAATCCTCCCTGCTGAGTCATTGAATTCTGACTGAGGGGAAACTTCCACACCATAAGAATACACTGATTAGTGCTGACGCCTATAGCCTGCGGTACTGATCGAGCAGAAAATATCAACATACATGGATTGAAATTTGGCCAGTCCTTGCTGAACCGAATTAATTTCAATCTATGTATAGCCAATTTAGGGCTGGATTTAGATGCACATCTAAACCCTTCACTCCTCTGAAGAGCAATCTGCATTTTGATTGTTTTTCACAATTGGCGATTGACAAGGGGTGATGATTCAATGTGACATCTCCTCACCACCTGTTTTAACCCTATTTTTGCTGAACAAACACATTGCCTGTGGTTGTGGAGCATTTGCAGCTCTTTCCCATTTGTTGGATTAGCAAACTCTATCAGCATGCTTGATAGCAACAATGTCACAAATACGCCCAGACTGCTATTATTTCAGCTTGGGGGGGGTTGGGGGTCACTAAAAAAGCAGCTCAACTGTGTGTTTTTAACGCCCCCCCCAACAGCACATGCAAACCTAATCTTGCTGCACTGTTTACTGGTGTTAATATTTACTGCAGGTTTTTCCATTTATTTGAATATCATAGTGATACCCAAAGACAGATCCTCCAGCTCTGCAATGAGGAAGAGAGAAGACTCTAGACCCAGCGTGTCAGGTGACCATGGGTTTAGGTAAGCATTTAGGACATTTAGGTAGAACTCTAGGCAGACAGTTACAATTATCACTTGAGTCACTTTAACATTAAATGATTGTGTAATGTTCATTTAGCAAATTGTAGATTTACTACTCCTTTAGTAAATGAACCCCACAGTCTTCAAGGGCTTGATCTCTTTAGTCAGTTGTTGTGCAGTAAAGAACTAAATGACATTATTAGCACAATGTTCATATAATTTAGAGGTGCAATTGCACGGTCATTGTAAATTCAGTGCAAATTGCAAATTGCTTTGGAAGTCCCTGCACAAAGCCACTCATGTTGGGTGCACACTATAATTAATGGTCACTGAAAAAATGTATAATACCTAAGCAATTATGTATTTAACAATGTGAGTAAATGTGGCAAATGTGCTACAAAATCAAAGGAATTCCAAGAGAAAAATGTGATTTTGGTAAGTGCCCACATTATCTAGTATTTGTTAGCACCTGTCTTATTCCATTGTCACTCTCACTAGTTAGTCCTAATTCATTAGGCTATAATGTATGTGCTACATGCCATCATGATCGTTAATTTCAGCACTGAAAGCCAAAAAGAGCTAACAACAATCACAAGGTTTAAAGTAATAATACTTATGTCAATAACACGAGCATCATATCTTAGGAAATTAAGCCAGTTACTTGTTTTTTGGTTTTTTATTCTGGCTAAAATTAGGTCTTGTATGATTAACTCTGTTGGGCAAAGTCCAAGGCATTTAAGCTGTCACAATGTTGGAACATCCATGTGATACCAGTTGTTTAGAAAGAATAGGGGTGAAAACCCCTACGTTACCTCAATAATGAGAGGAAAAAAAATAAATAAAAGTTGTGATGATAGTGGCTGCTGCTAACATCAAATTGTATTCCCACAATAGTAGAGCAAACTAAAAATCAATAAGTGATGTAGAGGGACACTCTGATGAAGTCACGTAGCGTGATGTAACGCGTAAGGGGCTTGGCTCTGGGCAGACATGAATAGTGAGTTCAGCTGACAACAAGTGAAGCCTTCATCTGATGATTTTATGGCATTTTGGTGTCCGTTTATGAACCAGCGGTAATAGATCCCTGCTCAGTTCTCCGGCATTCTCGGAGAACACAGTTCTCCTGTGAATACAGTTTATGAAGCAGTGTAGATCAGTTCTCCAAAGGAAGGGAGAACGGTCTACAAACGCTGGAGAATGGTCTACAAACCCTGGAAAACGGCTGATTTTACTATAATCTCTCGAGATTACAGTAAAAGATCAGTTTACTAAGCAGAGGTAAATTATCGCTGCTTAGTTTGCGGTCCCTCCGATTCTCCAGCTCTGGGCTGGAGAATCTGGAGGGAGAACACAGATCTCCAGTGAAGGGCTGAATATGTTCTCCACTGATCTCCTGAGTGTCATAAACTGTGAATGACCAGAGAATAGCTGCGATCCTCTGAATCACAGCTATTCTCTGTGTCATAAACGAACACCTTTATACTTTTACTACATGTGAATGTATTACTGCTTCTTAATAAGGTGTCCTTTCATGAAACAGAGATCAGCAGCGAACCTGAGGATCGTTGCTGATCTCTAATCATTAGTTGTTTAGGAAACAGAGATGATCAGCGGAGAACAGACATGTTCTCCGCTGATCATCTCAGCACACAAATGGTCAATATATGAAGGAGCGATGTCAGCCCTTCACTGGAGATCTGTGTTCTCCCTCCAGATTCTCCAGCTCGAGCTGGAGAATCGGAGGAACCGCAAACGAAGCAGCGATAATTTACAGCTGCTTAGTAAACAGTGTTTGACTGATCTCTTACTGTGATCTCGCAAGATTATAGTAAAAGCAGCCGTTTTCCAGCGTTTGTAGATCGGTCTCCCTTCATTCGGAGAACTGATCTACACCGCTTCATATAAAGGCATTCACATGAGAACTGTGCTCTCCGAGAATGCCAGAGAACTGAACATCGGTCATTTACCACTTCATGATAAAAGGACACCTATATCTATATATTAGTACATACTGCACCATGGGAGTGTCCTTTGTTCTATTTTAAGGATAGAAATGTGTGACCTCCATCACCCTTAAAGGGACTGATCCCTGGCTCTGGTTTGACAATCTCTTGAAAGCTCAAAGGTGTTTGACTACTATCACATGGTTGTGGATTAAAAAAGTGAAGAATCCTTTTGTCTGATATTATAAAGCGCATTTCCATGTGCTCTGATGTGAGAGTTCTGTGAGCACTGAGGTGGCACTATATGTTATGTGCACTATTTTACGTGATGGAAGAATCTTTATTACATAATAATAATTTATTGATTTTACATTTATGGACTCATTATGGACATTTTATTCAGTTATGTCACTTTCATTTTTTGTAGCTATTATATAGCAGCGCTACATCACTTATTTGTTTTTAATTTGTTTAGAAAGAATGTTTCTTCAGCAATAATTCAGAAAACCTTGTGATGATGCCTAGGTTCACACGTGAGCAGTGTCTTCTAAAGCCTAATACATACTATGAGAAACATATTTACATACATACTATGAGAAAATCAAACAGTTGATTTTGCGCTTTTCCCCAAAAGTGCGTATCATGATGTAGTCAGAATGGTATTGACTTCTAAGAAGATTCTCATCCAACAAAGGCAAAAGTAGCTACATACTAGCATAGTAGAAGAGGAAGTGTAGGGTCGTTCTATGCTTCTGATCATGCAATTTTGTTTTCTATTTGATTATTTCAGTGCAATAACTGTACACATTAAATGAAAATCAGACGTTATGTTCACACACAATAAACATTTTCTAGCTTGCACCCTTGGTTTTTGTCATCCGAAAAGTCAAAAACCGACTGTTGAAAGCATTATACTAATGATCAGATTATGTATATGTAATTAAAACAATTACTATTCTATATCATTAGCAGAATTGCCTTTGAGATAGAGATTACAGTACTAGTAGGCCCATAAATGCTTTTGCTATGGTCACACATAGTCAGGGGTGGACTGACCATTTGGAAACTCGGGCACTGCCCGAGGGCCCGGGGTCAGTAGGGGGCCCCATGAGATGCCCCTGGTACATTTTTCATAGGCTTTTTTGAGTTTGGGCAGGACACAGGGGCCCCATGATCCCTTATTGCCCGGGGGCCCCATGAGTTGTCAGTCCACCCCTGCTCATGGCTCTGCTACTAAAGCCGGTCATAGATGGTTTGAATTTTGGCCATTTCAGAAGGGACCGGTCGAGATTGGAACCATCTATGGGCAGACTGATTGTAACCCAATTTGATTGTTGTACAACTCGGGTACAACCAGCCTCACAGATTTTTCATGCGATTATTGCCAGTGGCCATGGGTGCTAACAATAGTCTCTGTGATCTCCCAGCTGTAACGGCTCCCACCCCACCCCCCATTCCCACCGCCTGGAGAACACAATAACTGTGTTGATGGGGGAATTGAGCAATTTTCTTTTCTGAAACCTGCGGTTGCAGGAAAGAAAATAGCATTGTCTATGGCCGGCTTTAGCTCAGTGAAGCTGGTTAACTTTGAATACCCAATTATGCTCGGAAAAAAATTTGTGGAAATCTTGCTGCACAAAATAGGATGGCTGAAGAGACAGCTTCATTAGACTGCATAAACATTCTACTTCTTTATCACAATGCTGGAACATATATGTGGTACATGTGTGTTTAGAAAGAATGTTTCTTGAGCAATAATTCAGAAAACCTTGTGATGACATCTAGGTTCACACTTGAGCAGTGTCTTCTAAAGCCTAGTACACACATGATAAAATCGAATGACCAATCGTGCGATTGTCCACAAAAGTGTGCATCATGATGTAGTCAGATTGGTATTGACTTGTAAGAATATTTTTGTCCGACAACGGCAAACGTAGCTACGTACTAGCATAGTAAAAGTGGAAATTTAGGATCGTTCTACATAGTAACTGTAGTTGATGGGGGAATTGAGCAATTTTCTTTTCAGCAACCTGTGGTTGCAGGAAAGAAAGTAGCATTGTCTATGGCTGGCTTTAGCTCAGTGAAACTGGTTAACTTTGAACACCCAATTATGCTCAGAAAAAAAAATAGTGGAAGTCTCGCTGCACATAATAAGGATGGCTGAAGAGACAGCTTCATTAGGCTGCATAAACATTCTACTTCTTTAGTAAGACATCTCCAGCGCACGTAATAAGTGCCTACTATAGTTTCTTCTCTTCCCCATCCTCTATAGGTTTCATAGCTATTTCTTTAATTTCCTTGCCAGATTCTATAAAGGTGGCTAGGGACATAGAAATGTAATGACAGTTTACAATTCTGAGTATTACACTTTATACCATCTGATCACTGGATTTTGTTATTGCTCCCTAATACATTATTAAAAGACATTAGTATCACTGATAGCATATTGATTTACTTTACTGCTAACGCTGTGCCAGTTGCTGAATGTAACAGCTGGCAAATTTGGCTCACACATACATTTTGCTTCCTTTTCAATCATCTACGGAAATTAGAAGTGAAATGAGACATAGGTAAGAGTGAAGCTAGATCTGTTTTATCTATTATATCAGTTTCTGTTCATATTACACCCCTGCAGTCTTCTCATGTGCCTATTTGATCTGCAATTGCTAGGTCAGTATCCCCTGATAGGGAAGTACAGATAAGCAGTTATAAAATATGAATAAGGCAGTGTATTTAAAACACATCATTTGGGTCTACTATGCATATTTGATGTAAGTAAAATATTAACATTGCTTAGAAGCAGTTCATCTCATCCTCAACATGTAATGTCCTAGCTATTTTTGGTGGTACTAATACTGATCACTGGGTGACTTGTTGGCCTTGCTCACACAGTGCGGTTTAAACATAATTTGGGTTGTAAAACATTAAAGGGGGTACAGCAAACAAGTGTTCTGGGTGAATGCTTTCTCATTAAAGAGTGAATCCGAGATTCAAATTAAGTTGTTAAAAATTAATTGCTTGCCCTACCTATTAAAAATAAAGGTTACACATGTGCTTGGTGTATTCATCAAATTTAATAGCAGGAAAACACACATGGTCAATTTTAATACAGAATATAGAATTTTCTTTTAATATATCTCAGATTCTATTGTCGAGATATGAGTGCTTGATTTCCTGGATCTGCTGTAGCCATTGTGAGGGATTCCTACTCTCCATGCTGTGGTTTGATTGTATTTTATATCATGCAAAATTCAGAAGAAAGAACTGGCACATGCCTCTGCGGGAAGGGATGTTTATTCTTGTACACTCTCTGGTATACAGGAATAAAATCAGAGATTATGGAAGGTAGATCTGGGTGTTGGGACACCCAACATGTGTGAAGAGCTGAGGGTTGGCTCAGATCACCAAGTCCCCCCCTCCCCAATATTCAAAACATCACCTTTTGGCCTGATTGGTCATTTTTAGTACTTTTTTTAGCTTCAGCATGCCCTCTGCCCTGCTGAGGATACACAGATGGAATATCCATTCCACATCTCTGATGGGACCAGCAGTAGTGCAAGCTGATACCTTTTCTCACATTTGCTTAAATTATAGAAATATTATTCTGGATATTTTAGTCTTTTTCCATTTACCGGTCCTCCTAGATTGCCAGACCTGCAATTGCACCTAACCTGCCCAACCAAGCTGTGATTGATTTGACAAAACAGCAGACAGTTGTGCAACCAATGACCACACCGTAGTCTGTACTGCTAGATATACAAGTAGTTTGTCATTTATTAAACATTTGCATGCCATAAATTTTCATTCCATTTTGGATGCATTCGTTCATTGAAGAATTTTGTTTCCGCATATTTGTTATGTTGAACTGATTCATTTTTTAATTTGTTTCGTATAGTTTCAAACAGATTTTAATCGGAACGATTCGATATATTCAGACGCTAGTCCAACCCACCAAGGGAAATGGCATGCGCTGATTGGACAATACCAACTACCATGATGTGCATCTGAATTAATTAATGGAATGAAATTCGTTATCCGAATTGGAATTATCAAAGGAATTCAAAAAGTGAATTAATTTCCCCATGAGCTGAACTACTATCACGTCATGTGACGTCATCCAAATGAAACAAATGCATTAGCTAAATTTTTTTTTTTTTACTCATTGAGAATTAGTTACTATTTCCATTTGGAGATTGGTTTACATCTGAATCTCTGAAAAATAAATTGCCATCCAAGAAAAATGAGTCAAAATGAAATGCCCATGCCTATCATTTATGCATTGTTAAAACATAATTTTTCAATATACTGAACTAAAGCAGATGTAACTAAAGTGGGGAGCACACTATGAGAAAATCAGACAAAGTATCATCTAATTTTCCATGAAGGTACGTACCATGTAACTGACAATGGTATTCATTTGTATCAAAATTCTCAAAGGCAAATGCTCTATGATGTGTACTATTTCTATGTTTGTTGCCACCTTCTTCCGGGATGTTCTTTGCTTCTGAGCATGCTAATTTTTTTCTATTTGATTATTTCTGTACAATTACTGTACACATTGAGCAAAAATTGGACATTGTCTTCACGTACAATAAAAATGCTCTAGTTTGCACTAATGTTTTTTTTTCATCTGAACAGTGGGAATCCGTTGTCGAAAGCACTATATTAAGGAGAACAGATAATCATCCATTTGTACCTCTTACAGAATTTTTCTTATTCTTTTCTTATAGTGTGTACACAGCTTTACTCTCTAGGCAAGTTAAGACTCTACCATCAATATGCCTACATAGGTATAATATGTTTGAGAATTTATCCTTACAATTAGGTGCAATACTCAATGCTCTTTTGTTGTTCTGTTCCTTTTTCCCTTTCCCTTTTCCTTTTCCCCTGTTTGTAATTGTTTGCCAAACTTTTGAGACACCTGCCATCAGAAAAGCAACTGATGCTGTGATTATGAGGTCTACAAGTTTTGATTGGGCTATTCACACCTGGATGAGATATTGTTGGCTAGGGCGGACACTTCCACATCCATGCCTCCAGATGATCTATAACCTCTCCTACCAAAGCAATTTTATTTTAGGTCCATCCTCGCTTTTATCTTTCGGTCTACAGATGCCTCTCTAGATGCAGCCATTTACAATAGCCTTGTATGTGTTGCTAGCTATGTGATTTTGTAATATCAACATTGCACCCTTTAGAGACCTGTGAAATATTCTGTCAGTTTTGTACTTTTATAATATTATAAAAATTAAATAAAGTTTGTTAAAAACAAACATGAATTTGATATTGTTAATCATTAGCTATAAATTATTTCTACATCTTTATGTTATCTGATAATCTCAGAGAACAAAAAGCTGCTAGTGGGCTATATTTGCCCTGTTTACTGCTTCCAGATTTTGACCTCTCTATAAACAAGAAGAACTGCCCCTGAGTCATTTATCAGAAGTAATATTTCATTTAGAAGGTCATTTGTAACAATTAGTCTTGAATTCTTTTGTACTTTAATTACCTGCAATCCTTCATGTCTGTAGTGCAGCTGTTATGGGTGCTGTAAAACAGAAGAATCTAATAATAATTGTTTGCCAAAGTTGCCTAATCAGTAGATATGAGTGTGAGATCAGAATGTGCATTGGTGGCAATATCACACAGTACTTAATACTTTTGTATTGTTGTATATGTGCTTCCTGCTCTAAGTGCTATTATTGACCTGTAAGACCCCCTCCCACACTTTCAGCTGGGACACAAGCCTTCAGTGGGGGGGAAACTAGGGGCCTGTGTTCATTCTGTCTTCTGTCTTTGTCATGCCCACCTACTCATGTCCATCCATCTCCCTGCAAGATCATTGCTGTCATTCAGACCCAGTGGGACACCTTAGAAATGCATATGGTGCTGCAGAGCCATAGCACACAATGTGATGATGGAAGAAGAGACAAGGTGGTGAATTGTATCCCTTCACTGTGCAGACTTAGGGAGTTGGGGGCACAATGAGAAGCAGCTGATCTATTGCTCAGGAGGAAGGCTGTCTGCCCACACATGCCTCCCATACCTCCTCTTCTACATCTGGAGGATATGTGCCAGAGCTACCCACATCTCTTACACATGGGAAAACATAAATACACAATAGCAATTCATATTTACAGCACAAAGAATCAGTGTCTGCAATTATAGGGTACATGATATTAATATTATATACATTTTTAATTACTTTTTTCCATGGGAAATTTTAATTTTGGCAATTTTATCTGTTCAAGAAACTACTCTGAACTATATTCACGCACATCTTTAGGCATATTTCTTTTTGCAGACAAAAAATTTTGTGAGTCTATAAAGATTTCCCTGCCCTATTCTGCCAGTGCCAAGTATCGTAGTGTAGCGCTACCTTCTTGAAAGCCGTTGGTATTGGGTCCCCCTATTTTTCTGCACTGCCAGGCACACTCTTTTTACCCTTTTGCATCCAAAGTCAGTAAACAGTCCATGAGCTTGATTTTGTTGTTGTATTAGGGGTTAAATAACTTGGATGGGGTCTAGGTGTATATGAAATTTCCAGTGGAATTAAAACAACTTGGAGGACAAACTTCCTATATACAAAAAGCAGAACATTTTGATCCTGGACTTTCTACTCCAACTGGAGTGGCTCTTGTCTCTTAAAGTGTTACTAAACCCACAACAGTAAAATCAGTCTGTATATGCAGTAAAGCATGCTTGTTATACTCACTGTGGAACTCAAGGAGTTAATCTCTGCACCGTGTAAAAAGGCTGCTTGATCATGACTTTTCTGATCCTCCCCCTCTTCCAGTGTCCCTCTCTTATCATATCATGTGGAGACACTGTGCACACGCTCAGCTTGGTGTGTATTGTGAAAGAGTTTTTTTTTCTGGGAGAGTGCATGCTATCAGCACAGGGCCAATCAGCACTGTCCATACAGAGGTCAGGGGTTCTGCATCCTCCTAGAGCAAAATGAAAACTCCTCCTTCAAGCTTTAACGTGCTCTGCTGGGCACTGATGGAAGTCACAAGACTGCTCTAACTGCTGATGAGAAAATATATTTATCAGTTTATATTTACTAAAATAATTGCACTTCCATGTTCTGTGTACTGTGGGAGACCAGATATAGTGAATGCAGGCTCCTGGGTTTAGTAACACTTCAGCAGATCACCACACAGTCCTTACTAGGAGCTCTCAGTCCCCTTAAATGAACCTCTTCAGACCCCCCAGATGAAAATCTCCTCATCCACCTGCTATCATGAAGAGTATCTAAGGGCAAGGGATTCAGAGACACATAAGAATGCTCTCCCAGGGAGAGCTAGTTGGGTATGGCACCTGACTGCCCTCTCCCTTGTAGGCCCAGGGGGTGTAGAGGTACTCTAGCTTTAAATGTGGTGAAGATGCTTTCAAGCCTTATGCTGGGCTGGCTTCTTCCCTTGCTGACAGTTCTTTCCTGTAGACTGTGGAACAGTAGTCCCTCTTCCCAGCTTCCAGCCTGTAGGTAGACCCCCCTCCTCTGGGCCCCCCTCCCAGGCTCCACACCAGCAGCACTTCCTCACTCCATTTTCCACCCGACTCCCCTACTAGCCAGACTCTCTCACATTTATGGGTTGATCTCGCACACTGCCAGGCCTCCTGCCTGGGATTGGCCAGACTCCCATAAATATGCAGATCAGCCCCTCCTCACTTTTGCCCACTAGCTTCTAGAAACCTCTCCAAGTCTCTACAGCAGGGGGAGCTATCAGAAAACTGACCTGTAGAGCCCTCCAGCTCTAACCTAAAGTAACCTTGCTGATTCACTCCCAGGCTGACTCATACCCAGGCTTCTAGCAGGCCTCTAACTATACACAAAAAAAGGAACTGCACTAGAGAGAGTGTTACATCAGCAATAATGCCAACTTAAACCAACTTAAACCTGGTGAGCACCATTTTCTTTAATGGAGGGAGCATAAGACTATTCACCTATCTGTCTACATCTTAACATCTATCTATCCATTCAGTCATATCTGACCCTTGGCGATTGCATGGACTGTCACTCGTAAGCGACTTTTTCCATGAATTCTCTTAGCAATTATTTTACAGGGTAGGTTGCCAGGTCTTTCCCCAACCCCTACCATGCAGGAAATCCCACGTGGCCAGGGATAAAACTAGGACAAATTAGACAGGAGCCAATTAACCTACCAGCATGTCTTTGGAGTGTGAGAGGAAGCTGGAGTACCCGGAGGAAACCCACACAAACACAGGGATAACATGCAAGCTCCATGCAGGAGGCGCCATGGTTGGGAATTGAACCCATGACCCAATTACTGCAAGGCAGAAGTGCTAACCACTAAGCCACTGTGCCGCCCCGTCTTAACATAGTCACACGCAGGGGCTGACTGACCATTCGAGCACTCGGGCACTGCCCGAGGGTCTGGGGTCAGTAGGGGGCACCATGAAATGCCCCTGGTACCTTTTTATAGGCTTTTTTGGGTGTGCTTTGAGCGTGGGCGAGGACACTGGGGCCCTATGATCCCCTATTGCCCGGGGGGCCCCATGGGTTATCAGTCCGCCCCTGGTCACAAGTAATGTTGGCATGTCATGTTAGAATTTTATGAATTGAAAAACATAGTTGTGAAATGAAAAACAATCAGGAGGGTGTGCTTAGCTGAGAAAACCCCTCCTCCCCTCCTGAAGAGTCCTGGGATGTATGAGATCATTTGCCTAGGCATAGAGAACAGGAAGAAACTGAAGAAATGGATAAAAAAAAGAAACGTTTAAAACAAATAAATATAATATACCTTCCAATCTATTTACTAATGCTAAGAGCACAAGGATTAATAATAGTCAATGTTGATTAAGAGAGTTCCCCTGTAAGATATGCTTTAAGTCTAATATCATTAGGTAAAGCCATGGAGAAACTTTTTTCTGCAGAATTTCGCAAGCCAACGAAGCAAAAAGGTGGCACATTTCTGAAAATGCACACTCTAAAGCCATGTGCACATGACTTTCATTGTGGCGAGGATTATAGCATAATATGCGTGACACATAATGATGTATCTCTGTGTTTGTCCTGGATCAGCTTTAGTACAGAGCAGACACACCAGAGCGAAGCTGTGGACCGACACAGCAGTTCCTGCATCATGTTCAAAGGATATCACAGAAAAATGTGGAACGATTGATCTGATGTTCCAATGTAAGAAAAGTGCCCTTACATGACTCGTCTAATCTTTGAAAGTTATATCTGATGAGCATTTCTATATACATTAAAAGTCATCCTGGACAGCGACTTTTTTTTGTTGAAGGTCCAAAGAAGCCATCCATTTTTACAAAATGCTGGGTTATGTGATAATGAGAAGGTTATCCCTGTTCCCTGAAACTACCTTCACACAATAAACGTAACTAATAGTATGGGCTACGAAATATACTACTTTATCACTAAGGTAGTCTTCCTGGCAATTAGTAATTATTGTCTGACACCTAGCATTGTGCAATGGCATTGCTAACAAATACCTTGCGGTGACACACTAAGCTCACACATTTTTCTTAAATAAAATACATGCAGTATGTTTAAATAAAAGTACTTTCTATATTTATTTGACTTCCTTCCATCTCTGAAATGCAAGCTTTACTCTGATATTCTCAGACTTCCTGTTCTATGGTGGCTACACTCAGTCTCCATATCCTCTTTGCGAATGTGAATGTAGCCACCTTTTGCTGCTCACCCTGAGATGGCTACACATTTACATGCAGACACATTCAGTGCAGGCACAAAACATCCAAAAGGTCCTTCCTCTTCCTTATCACCACCCAGGGGCGGCTTGACAACTCATGGGGCCCCCGGGCAATAGGGGATCATGGGGCCCCTGTATCCTCACCCACAACCAAAAAAAAGCCTATGAAAAAGCCAATTAAAGGTACCAGGGGCATCTCGTGGGGCCCCCTACTGACCCCGGGCCCTCGGGCAGTGACCAAGTGGCCAAATGGTCAGTCCGCCCCTGTCACCACCCACATGTCTCCGACGCAGATTGATTGTCATATTATTTTTGGCGCATGCGTAGTGGCTGAATATAGCCAGAAGAACCATGAGAATTGTAGTACACCTAGAGAAGACCATGTGACTGGAAATAACAGGCACTGCTTGTTCCTCTCTAATATCAGTAGGCACATCAGAGGACGATCTGGGGCATGGACAAAACTAAATCCTGAAACAGTACAAGACTTTATAAAACCTGCCACCAGTTTCTAGTAGATGGGCGCTATAACGACCTTTGACACTGTGCAGTGTACTTGCACAGAAATCTGCGGCACAGATATGCAGATGCACCACAAAGCCGTGGCCAGTCTGTGCATGGTAACACACTGCCTCCTGGTATAGGTGTGACATAGCAATCCTAGGAGGGAGCGGAGTCCGGCCTAGGTTGGAAAGCTGGAAATGTTACCTTGCAGGACAAAAATAACAAGGTAAAAATTCTAATATTTTTTTCCCATTTTGTTAAGAGGGAGGGTGAGGAACAAAAAAAGAAAATGTTGCTAGAATAAGTTAAGTTCCACTTTAACCAGTTATATGACGCCCTCCCCAGAATACGCCTTGCACGCACCATGGGCTGCGCTGCTGTGCTATCCGTCACCCGCTGTGTCCTTAGGACACAGCAGATGACCAATCAGTGTACCAACTGCTGCTGGTACCATGTGATCACTGTGGTCAATCACAGCAGATCACAAGGCAGTTGCACACAATGGATAGCTTTCATATCATCCATTGTATACTATTGTGCCGATTTCTGTGATTGGTCACAGTGATCACATGGTACAGACAGGGTCAATCACAGCCCATCTGTACCATGTGATTAGCTGTGACCAATCACAGCTAACCACAATAGTAAACACTGAATGAATTGATTTCATTCAGTAAAAATGGTTGCTTATAACAGTGAAATTCACTGGTATAAGCAATCATAGTGCGTGATCACTTCCCCAGTGTACTACAGTGTTATTGTGGTAACACAGTATTGCGCTGGTCACAGTATGTTAAAAAAAAATGTGATTTATTTCACATACTGTCACCAATCAGTGTACCAGATCACCGCCACACCAATTATATGATGACACTGTTCTGCACCGGTGACAGTATGTAAAAGAAAACATTTTGACAAAAAATTACAACTTCAAAAAACTCGCCATGCCTCTTACTAAATACCTTGGACTGTCTACTTTCCAAAAAGAGGTCATTTAGGGGATATTTGTGCTGTCTTGACATTTTCGGGCCTCAAGAAATGAGATAGGCAGTCAGTACATCGGGATTGATTAATTTTATTTTCAGATAGATATATATATATATATCAGAGATTTTGGACACTATAACTTTCCTACAGACTAAATAATAAAAAATGATTTGCGTTATTTTCACCAAAGGAAAGTAGTAGAATACATTTTGGCCTTAATTTAGGAAGAAGCACAGTGGGGCAGCACAGTGGTTAAATGGTTAGCACTTCCACATGGCAGTACTAGGGTCATTGGTTCATATCCCAACTCATGGCACCACCTGCCTGGAGTTTGCATACTCTCCCTGTGCCTGTGTGGGTTTCCTCCCAGGTACTCCGGTTTCCTCCCACACTCCAAAGACATGCTGGTAGGTTAATTGGATCAAGTCTAAATTGGCCCTAGTATGTGTATGTATGAATGTAAGTTAGGGACCTTAGATTGTACACTCCTTGAGGGTTAAGGACTGATATGAATGTACAGTATATATGTAAAGCGCTGCATAAAATTGACAGTGCTATATAAGTACCTGTTAAAAAGAAAGATTATTTATTTGCAAAATGTTTTTACAGAAATGAAGAAAAACACATTTGTTTTCAACACTTTCAGTCTCTTTTTTTTGTTTATTTAGCAAAAAAAAAAAAAAACAGTGGTGATGAAATACCACCAAAAGAAAGCTCTATTTGTATGAAACAGAATGATAAAATTCCATATGGGTACAATGTTGCATGTCCTTGCAATTGTCATTCAAAGTGCAACAGCCCTGAAAGCTGAAAATTGGCCTGGGCTGGAAAGGGATGAAAGTGCCTGGTATTGAAATGGTTAAGTAGCTACATTTGATTTTGGTGTCAGCCTCCTGCAGTCTCCTGTTTGTCAGAGCTCAAGCTAGGTGGGAGGGAGAAGCTGCACATGGAGACAGACATGCTGCAGTGCTCATATGAAGCATGCTTATAGAAGGAGTGAGCTCATTGTTCTGCTGCTTCTGGATGTATTTCACTCCTGTCATAAAAACCCTGCTTATCAGCAATTTTTAGAAAACTGAGTTTAATACCACTTTAAATCCTGATAGGCTTCTTTCCTGGTTTTAGGCCCCATTCACACCTGAGTGTTTTTTAGATTGAAGCTCCAAACCTCTCAACATCCTACATCCCATGGATTCAATTGTGGATCTTCACATGAGTGCTCAGATGCCTGTAGCTCCATGCCCGACACTACAAAAGCTAAATGAGCTGCTTGTGAGGTAGATTTGGATGTTTAGGTCCTTTAGACTTCAATGGAAAAGCCTGTAGACAACCAAATCAAGCATTTTTTAGCAAGTTCTCAGGCATATTTCAGGCATTTTATAGCCTGGAAGAACTGGTCTCCTCCATTGACTGATACATAAACACCAAACCTTGAATACAAATGTGAAATGCTTGTAATACACTCTAAAATGCTCATATGTGCTTGCAAAAACACACAAATATAAATGCTTGAAAATGCCCGAAAATCACTATGCTCAGATGTAATTGCAGCCTGTTGCTGGGAAGGTAAACTCCTTCCTACCAGCCACATGCATATATGCGACCATTCGATGGGTGGGCCTTTATGCTGGGAGGCCGTATATATGTGTACCCCAAAAAAGCAGATCTCTGCAGACAGTGCGCACCGTGCACGCTCCTGGCACAGTTGCCGGCGGCTGACGGAAAGCTCCCAATCTCTTCTTGTGAACGAGAGCTTTCCGATCATATGACCGCTGTTCCAGCCAATCACGACAGTCACATGATCACAAACCCCGGCATCTAAAACCTCTTAAAGAGCCAGAAGGTGCCTGCACCAAGGAAGAATGCAGAACTGCACCCCTCTCTTTCACTACTGGTGCATGCCGTAGAATGGGTGTACCACCTTGTGCCCATTCACTGCCCCCTTGCACCAGCTGACCATGGTTGGAATAGTGAGCACTGCACATTTATGGCCATTGTCTTGATTTTTGCAGCAGTAGCTGTTAAAGCAGACATGTAGTTATGGCCTGGCCCTGTTTACTACCACTGTTTCAGAGCTTGGGTGCAGTACAGGTCCCTCCTGCCCACCCCTTGTCCCGGCCCTGGGTATAAAAACAGACTGAAGTACCTAATTAAAAAACAAATAAATACATAACTGGAATGAGCTATTTTTTAAATATACTGTATATGTCTGCCTACATGTTAAATGCTACAAAACATCCATAAATGCTAGATTAGTACTTTGGATAAATAACCTCTGATTCTAGTCTTGACCAGCAATAAATACATTTGTTTTGAGAGGTATATTGTATG